ACCTCACAATCTTTAATTTATTTATGCCCACCAAACCCCTGTAAGGTAGGTGTAAGCAGGGTCTGAATGAGCTCTCCTCTGCTTGCTAGTTGGGGAGGGAGAGAGACTTCAGGAGCAAACTGTATTTATATGAACACACCTGCTCTGTATCGGTATCTAGCAGACAAGAGCTGTGTAGCACCAAGTGATCAGCTTTGACTGGTTTTGGGTTAAAAATCACTTTATTACTGAAAGCAGGGGTAGTGAAATGTTGTTATCAATGTTGTTGTCTTTATTGTCTGAGTAAAGGGGAGCAAAACTGTCCCAAATGAGGGGGACACACTCAGCTGAAAGGACCTCATTAAGCCAGCGTCTTGAATGCCAGGCCCCTGTGAACATAAGAACGGTCAGATCCAGGGTCCATCTAGCCCAATATCTTCCAACAGTAGCCAATGCCAGGTGCCCCAGAGGGAATGAACAGAACAGGTAATCATCAAGTGATCCATCCCCTGTCGCTCATTCCCAGCTTCTGGCAAACAGAGGCTAGGGACACCATTCCTGCCCATCCTGGATAATAGCCATTGATGGACCTAGCCTCCATGAATTTATCTAATTCTTTTTTGAACCCTTTTATAGTCTTTGACTTCACAACATCCTCTGGCAAGGAGTTCCACAGGCTGACTGTGTGTTGTGTGAAGAAATACTCCCTTTTGTTTGTTTTAAACCTGCTGCCTATTAATTTCATTTGGTGACTCCTATTTCATGTGTTATGAGACGTACTAAACAACACTTCCTTATCTACTTTCTCTATACTAGTCATGATTTTATAGACTTCCATCCTATCTCCCCTTAGCCATCTCTTTTCCAAGCTGAAAAGTCCCAGTCTTATTAAACTCATATGGAAGCCGGTCCATACCCCTAATAATTTTTGTTGCCCTTTTCTGAACCTGTTGATATTGCAAGCTTGCAGGATGGGATTTTCAGAAGCACTTAATGCTTGCGTTGGCCTAAACATTGACGTCAGCAGGAATTTTATTCACTGAGTCCATGGGAGCAGAGGTAGGCCAAGAGGAATGCTTTAGAAAATCCCACCCTGAGGTGATTAATGGCCCCAACTTGCATTCCTTATGCCTCTAAAACCTTCACTGCACAAAGAATGCAGAACTAGGACAAGCATATCTGAAGTTAGTTTGGTACTTTATACATTATAGAGGGCATATATACATTTAAATCAGTATTCTTATTACAAATACCAGTTAGTGAGAACTGTGATGAGGTTTTTGGTCATATGAGCAGCTGTTCAAGAGGAACATGAGTTTCATCTCACATGAGTTTCTAAATAATTTTCAGATACCAATGATGTGCAGTCACTACAAACTAGCAATGGCCAGGTTGAGGGGACGTTGGCTATAAAACTGTGTAGGACCAGATTCACCAATATGTCCTTTGTGATGGAAAGCAACCAAGAACCCTGTCTGACTGGCCAGTTAAGCTGGAGTAATCCTTACTCCCTCTGGATCTCTGGAAGATGGCATTTACCAAACTTTGTTTGTGACACAGTAATTGGTAGCAACCCCCAGGTGCACCATGACTTAGGGGCAAACACAGATCTTGACTCGATAGGTTCTAATACCTGACCGGTGCACTTCAACAGACATCTCAAACGAAAAGATGATTTACTCAGTGATAGAATGCATTGGGGAAAGAAGAAAGCAAAAAAATGCCACATCTCCCTTGCATTTTAAGGAGTTATATTGCCAAATAAATAAATAAATGCCAAAAATAAAACAACAAAAAATCAAAGTCCCACCAAAATGGAATTTGTGAACAGCCAAAGAAACACCCTGAAAAGTTGGGTGTATGAGAGAAAAACAGCAGATGGCATCCTCAGGTGGTGGAAAGATGGAAATGCTAATTTAGAAATTCCAAGAGTTCATGGCTGTGGAAAAGCATGACTGTTGAAATTCAGCAGCAGACAGTCTAAATGTCTGTTCGCAGCTTTAGGGAGCACAGCTGCTTGGTGGCTCCTGTCCTAGTTGTCTCAGCTGAAATCTAAAAATCCTAAAACCTTTTAGATAATCTAAACAAAAGGCACACACTTGCAATTGAGAATAATTGAGATGTGACACACTCTAGAAATAATCCTCCAACATTCTGCAAGTAGTAGCTATGAATTACTGAGTCTTATGTTTGTCCATACACAAAGGGTGGACAAATACCATTAGTAAGATTAGATTAAAGTAAAAAAAAAAAACCATGACAAAACAAAAGCAAAGTCTCAAGGAACTGTGTGTGTGTCTCCTTTGGGGCAGTCTGCGCTGAAATGCACACAAAACGGCCGATTGGGTCTACTGACAGCCGCCATTAGACATATGAAGGTTCAGTAGAAAGTAAAGAAAGACGTAACAGTTACACAGTTACTAGGACCAAACTCTCGTTCTGGCTCTGAAACTGACTCCCTAAGACAAGTCCAGTATTGCGAACTCCAAGTATTCAAAAACTTGAGTCAAGCCCCCAAAATCGTATGGTCGGATTTAAAATCATGAGGTTTTAAAAATAATCCATCTGAAGTTGGTTTTTTTTTTTTTTTGCCTTTTGATGTTTGAACCTTTAGGACTCATGTTTTCGAGGTTCCCTCTGCAACTGTGAGGGCTAGAAACTTAATCTTTTTTTCGTTAATTAAAGCTGAAATTCTGATGCAATCACATGACTTCAGGGTCTAGGGCTTTAAGTAAAACACCAAATAATGTGAGACCAATGATAAAAGTACAAGAGTTAGCAACACTGCAAGTTGGTCAGCAACTGTTCACTGCTCTGTTTCCTATTTGTAAAAGGTAGATAATACTTCCGCCCCCCGATATTTTTACTATTGTGACTACTTTGTTATTATTTCAAATCAAAAACAAAATAAAACATCTTTCAATGCAATTTCTTGTACCACTAGAATTTAGGAATGCAAAAAACTGGAAAGAAATTTGTGCCAAATATTGAAGAAGCACAATAACTTTCGAGTGTTTCTCAGGAAAAAAAATAAATATGCAAAGTAAAACCACAAAAGATACTGTTGCCTGATTTTGTTAATTTTTAACCAATCATAATATTTACAGGAGTGCTGTGAGGATTAATTAATTAATGTTGGTACTAGTGCTTTGAAGATGCACATTTTATATACACTGGTCATGCTTAAAAAGTTGCAGTTTTGCCTTTGATAACTAGATCACTTTCCCGGAGTAGAGGTGAACTTCACCCCATGTGCAGAGGGTCCTCAAAACAGGTCTTAAGTGGAATTTAAGCAGTGCACTGACCCTGTGAATTTTGTCACAGAGAGGGTGTGCCATAGATATTCATATTCTCTGGTATTCTTCATTTCTGAGGTAATACCCAAGGAAGTTAAGAGACCATCTGGTGCTTACTGCAAATACTAAGATAAAGTTATAAGAACATAAGAATGGCCATATTGGATCTGACCAATAGTCTATCTAGCATAGTATCTTCTCCTCTGACAGTGGCCAATGCAAGGTGCTTCAGAAGGAATGAACAGAACAGGGAATTGTCAAGGGATCCATCCCCTGTCGTCTGCTCATGCTTTCTGGGAATCAGAGGCTAGGGACACTCAGAGCAAAGGGTTGCATGCATCCCTGCCCATCCTGGCTAAAAGCCATTGATGGACCTATCCTCTATGAACTTATCTAAGCCTTGGTCTACACTAGGACTTTAGGTCGAATTTAGCAGCGTTAAATCGATGTAAACCTGCACCCGTCCACACGATGAAGCCCTTTATTTCGACTTAAAGGGCTCTTAAAATCGATTTCCTTTTTTCATCCCTGACAAGTGGATTAGCGCTTAAATCGGCCTTGCCGGGTTGAATTTGGGGTACTGTGGACACAATTCGACAGTATTGGCCTCTGGGAGCTATCCCAGAGTGCTCCATTGTGACCGCTCTGGACAGCACTCTCAACTCAGATGCACTAGCCAGGTAGACAGGAAAAGAACTGTGAACTTTTGAATCTCATTTCCTGTTTGGCCAGCGTGGCAAGCTGCAGGTGACCATGTAGAGCTCATCAGCAGAGGTGACCATAATGGAGTACCAGAATCGCAAAGGAGCTCCAGCATGGACTGAACGGGAGGTACGGGATCTGATCGCTGTATGGGGAGATTTCAGAGTAACAGCCGTGTTAGTCTGTATTCGCAAAAAGAAAAGGAGTACTTCTGGCACCTTAGAGACTAACCAATTTATTTGGGCATGAGCTTTCGTGAGCTACAGCTCACTTCATCGGATGCATACCGTGGAAACTGCAGCAGACTTTATATATACACAGAGAATATGAAACAATACCTCCTCCCACCTCACTGTCCTGCTGGTAATAGCTTATCTAAAGTGATCATCAGGTGGGCCATTTCCAGCACAAATCCAGGTTTTCTCACCCTCCACCCCCCCACACAAATTCACTCTCCTGCTGGTGCTAGCCCATCCAAAGTGACAAGTCTTTGCATAATCAAGTCGGGCTATTTCCTGCACAAATCCAGGTTTTCTCACATCCCCCCCACCCCCATACACACACAAACTCACTCTCCTGCTGGTAATAGCTCATCTAAACTGACCACTCTCCAAGTTTAAATCCAAGTTAAACCAGAACATTATGTAAAGAGTTGTCACTTTGGATGGGCTAGCACCAGCAGGAGAGTGAATTTGTGTGGGGGGGGTGGAGGGTGAGAAAACCTGGATTTGTGCTGGAAATGGCCCACCTGATGATCACTTTAGATAAGCTATTACCAGCAGGACAGTGGGGTGGGAGGAGGTATTGTTTCATATTCTCTGTGTATATATAAAGTCTGCTGCAGTTTCCACGGTATGCATCCGATGAAGTGAGCTGTAGCTCACGAAAGCTCATGCTCAAATAAATTGGTTAGTCTCTAAGATGCCACAAGTACTCTTTTTCTTTTTGTATGGGGAGAGGAATCCGTGCTATCAGAACTCCGTTCCAGTTTTTGAAATGCCAAAATCTGTCAACATCTCCCAGGGCATGAAGGACAGAGGCCATAACAGGGACCCGAAGCAGTGCCGCATGAAACTGAAGGAGCTGAGGCAAGCCTACCAGAAAACCAGAGAGGCGAATGACTGCTCCGGGTCAGAGCCCCAAACATGCCACTTCTATGATGAGCTGCATGCCATTTTAGGGGGTTCAGCCACCACTACCCCAGCCATGTTGTTTGACTCCTTCAATGGAGATGGAGGCAACACGGAAGCAGGTTTTGGGGACGAAGAAGATGATGATGATGATGAGGTTGTAGATAGCTCACAGCAAGCAAGCGGAGAGACCGGTTTTCCCGACAGCCAGGAACTGTTTCTCACCCTGGACCTGGAGCCAGTACCCCCCGAACCCACCCAAGGCTGACTCCTGGACCCGGCAGGGGGAGAAGGGACCTCCGGTGAGTGTACCTTTTAAAATACTATACATGGTTTAAAAGCAAGCATGTGAAAGGATTACTTTGCCCTGGCATTCGCGGCTCTCCTGGATGTACTCCCAAAGCCTTTGCAAAAGGTTTTTGGGGAGGGCAGCCTTATTGCGTCCTTCATGGTAGGACACTTTACCACTCCAGGCCAGTAATACGTACTCGGGAATCATTGTACAACAAAGCATTGCAGTGTATGTTGCTGGTGTTCAAACAACATCCGTTCTTTATCTCTCTGTGTTATCCTCAGGAGAGTGAGATATCATTCATGGTCACCTGGTTGAAATAGGGTGCTTTTCTTCAGGGGACACTCAGAGGAGCCCATTCCTGCTGGGCTGTTTGCCTGTGGCTGAACAGAAATGTTCCCCGCTGTTAGCCACGGGGAGGAGGGAGGGTTGAGGGGGTAGCCAAGCGGTGCGGGGATGCAAAATGCGACCTTGGAACGAAAGCACATGTGCTATGTATGTAATGTTAACAGCAAGGTTTACCCTGAAAGAGTGTAGCCACTGTTTTATAAAATGTGTCTTTTTAAATACCGCTGTCCCTTTTTTTTTCTCCACCAGCTGCATGTGTTTCAATGATCACAGGATCGTCTCCTTCCCAGAGGCTAGTGAAGATTAGAAAGAAAAAAAAACGCATTTGCGATGAAATGTTCTCCGAGCTCATGCTGTCCTCCCACACTGACAGAGCACAGACGAATACATGGAGGCAAATAATGCAGAAGTGCAGGAAAGCACAAAATGACCGGGAGGAGAGGTGGCGGGCTGAAGAGAGTAAGTGGTGGGTTGAAGACAGGGCTGAAGCTCAAATGTGGCAGCAGCGTGATGAGAGGAGGCAGGATTCAATGCTGAGGCTGCTGCAGGACCAAACCAGTATGCTCCAGTGTCTGGTTGAGCTGCAGCAAAGGCAGCTGGAGCACAGACTGCCGCTACAGCCCCTGTGTAACCAACTGCCTCCTCCCCAAGTTCCATAGCCTCCACACCCAGACGGCCAAGAACGTGGTGGGGGGGCCACCGGCCAACCAGCCACTCCACCACAGAGGATTGCCCCCAAAAAAAAGAAGGCTGGCATTCAATAAATTTTAAAGTTGTAAACTTTTAAAGTGCTGTGTGGCATTTTCCTTCCCTCCTCCACCACCCCTCCTGGGCTACCTTGGTAGTCATCCCCCTATTTGTGTGATGAATGAATAAAAAATGCATGAATGTGAAGCAACAATGACTTTATTGCCTCTGCAAGCAATGATCGAAGGGAGGAGGGGAGGGTGGTTAGCTTACAGGGAAGTAGAGTGAACCAAGGGGCGGGGGGGTTTCATCAAGGAGAAACAAAGAGAACTTTCACACCGTAGCCTGGCCAGTCATGAAACTGGTTTTCAAAGCTTCTCTGATGCGTACCGCACCCTCCTGTGCTCTTCTAACTGCCCTGGTGTCTGGCTGCGCGTAACCAGCAGCCAGGCGATTTGCCTCAACCTCCCACCCCACCATAAACATCTCCCCCTTACTCTCACAGATATTGTGGAGCACACAGCAAGCAGTAATAACAGTGGGAATATTGGTTTCGCTGAGGTCTAAGCGAGTCAGTAAACTGCGCCAGCGCGCCTTTAAACGTCCAAATGCACATTCTACCACCATTCTGCACTTGCTCAGCCTGTAGTTGAACAGCTCCTGACCACTGTCCAGGCTGCCTGTGTACGGCTTCATGAGCCATGGCATTAAGGGGTAGGCTGGGTCCCCAAGGATACATATAGGCATTTCAACATCCCCAACAGTTATTTTCTGGTCTGGGAATAAAGTCCCTTCCTGCAGCTTTTGAAACAGACCAGAGTTCCTGAAGATGCGAGCGTCATGTACCTTTCCCGGTCATCCCACGTTGATGTTGGTGAAACGTCCCTGGTGATCCACCAGAGCTTGCAGCACTATTGAAAAGTACCCCTTGCGGTTTATGTACTCGGCGGCTTGGTGCTCCGGTGCCAAGATAGGGATATAGGTTCCGTCTATGGCCCCACCACAGTTTGCAGCAAAGCCATCCACTATGACCTGCACATTTCCCAGGGTCACTACCCTTGATATCAGCAGATCTTTGATTGCGTGGGCTACTTGCATCACAGCAGCCCCCACAGTAGATTTGCCCACGCCAAATTGATTCCCAACTGACCGGTAGCTGTCTGGCGTTGCAAGCTTCCACAGGGCTATCGCCACTCGCTTCTCAACTGTGAGGGCTGCTCTCATCTTGGTATTCATGCGCTTCAGGGCAGGGGAAAGCAAGTCACAAAGTTCCATGAAAGTGCCCTTACGCATGCGAAAGTTTCGCAGCCACTGGGAATCGTCCCAGACCTGCAACACTATGCAGTCCCACCAGTCTGTGCTTGTTTCCCGAGCCCAGAATCGGCGTTCCACAGCATGAACTTGCCCCATTAGCACCATGATGCATGCATTGGCAGGGCCCATGCTTTCAGAGAAATCTGTGTCCATGTCCTGGTCACTCACGTGACCGCGCTGACGTCACCTCCTCGCCCGGTATCGCTCTGCCAGGTTCTGGTGCTGCATATACTGCTGGATAATGCGTGTGGTGTTTAATGTGCTCCTAATTGCCAAAGTGAGCTGAGCGGCCTCCATGCTTGCCTTGGTATGGCGTCCGCACAGAAAAAAGGCGCGGAACGATTGTCTGCCGTTGCTCTGACGGAGGGAGGGGCGACTGACGACATGGCTTACAGGGTTGGCTTCAGGGAGCTAAAATCAACAAAGGGGGTGGCTTTACATCAAGGAGTATTTCAGGCAGGACTTCACGGAGGGTTCCAATAAGAAATGGTGCACCTAAGTTATTGTTCTTATTGGAACAAGGAGGTTAGTCTGGCCTCTGATTGATACATGGCTAGATTTACCTCGCTGCACCTTCTCTGTGAGTGACTGCAGTGTGACCTAGAGGAATGAGTCCCCTAGATGGGGGAGGGGAGGGAAGCAAATGAGTACAAAACAAATCTGGTCTATTTCTTGTTTTGATCCACTCCATCTATCTTTTACATCTTTGGCTGGCAGCAGACTGTGCAGAAGGACTGCATGCCATCCACATCTCATGGCTGCCCGGCAGAAGATGATGCAATAGGACTGCTAGCAATCCGTATCACCTGCCTGCTCACCATAAGACGTTCAATAGGGCTGACTGCAGGACTAAAGAGAATGACCTGGTCAAGTCACTCCAAATTTAGTCCCTGCGCCCATGTCTGCCCAGGCGCTCCTGGCCGACGTGGCCAGGAGCACCTCGGACATGACGATGATGGCTACCAGTTGTACTGTACCGTCTGCTGCCACAAGGCAAGGGGTTGATGCTGCTGTGTAGCAATGCAGTACCACGTCTGCCAGCACCCAGGAGACATAGGGTGACGGTTACCTGAGCGGGCTCCATGCTTGCCGTGGTATGGCGTCTGCACAGGTAACTCAGGAAAAAAGGCGCGAAACGATTGTCTGCCCTTGCTTTCACGGAGGGAACGGGGGCCTGACGATATGTACCCAGACCCACCCGCGACAATGTTTTAGCCCCATCAGGCATTGGGATCTCAACCCAGAATTGCAATGGGCAGCGGAGACTGCGGGAACTGTGGGATAGCCAGCCACAGTGCAACGCTCCAGAAGTCGACTCTAGCCTCAGTACTGTGGAAGCACTCCGCTGAGGTAATGCACTTAATGCACTTAGAGCATTTTCTGTGGGGACACACACACTCGAATATATAAAACCGATTTCTAAAAAACCGACTTCTATAAATTCGACCTAATTCCATAGTGTAGACATACCCTAATTCTATTTTGAACGCTGTTATAGTTTTGGCCTTCACAACATCCCCTGGCAATTAGTTCTACAAGTTGACTGCATTGTGTGATAAAGTACTTCCTTCTATTTGTTTTAAACATGCTGCCTATTAATTTCATTGGGTGACCCCCTGGTTCTTGTGTTATGAGAAGGAGTAAATAACACTTCCTTAATTACTTTCTCCACACCAGTCATGATTTTATAGACTTTTATCATATCCCCTCTTAGTCATCTCTTTTCCAAGCTGAAAGTCCCGGTCTTTTTAAATCTCTCGTCATAGGGAAGCTGTTCCATACCCTTAATCATTGTTCTTGCTCTTCTCTGTATTTTTTCCATTTCTAATATATCTTTTTTGAGATGGGGTGCTGGGTAATACATGTGGTATTCAATGTGTCAGTATAACTTGGAGTGGCATTATGATATTTTCTGTCTTATTATCTATCCCTTTCCTAATGGTTCTGAATATAGTTAGCTTTTCTAACTGTCATTGCACATTGCGTGGATATTTTCAGAGAACTATCCACAATGACTCCAAGATCTCTTTCATGAGTGGTAACAGGTAATTTAGACCTCTTCATTTTGTATGCATAGTTGGGATTATGTTTTCCAAATATGCATCGCTTTGCATTTATCAGCATTGAATTTCATCTACCATTTTGTTGCCCAATCACCCAACTAAGTTATCCATCTAAGATATTTTTAAAGCAGCCACTGCTGTAGTGTTTTACTTACATTGTAAGTTCTTTGGGGGAAGAGACCATCTTTTTGTTCTGTGTTTGTACAATGCCTAGGACAATGGGGCCCAGGCCATAATTTTGGCTCCTAGACATTGCTACAATACAAATAATAAAAACAGTAACTTAAAGTCTCATGACAGGCACATCAGTTAGCACCCATCAGTATGAACAGACCAGTTATACTCCCCCTCACAGTTTGGAGAACAACTGAAACATCTCTCTCCCCCACTCCGCCATTTCCCTGGCTAGGCCTTTGTAAACTCCCATCGGACATGCTGGGCGTGCAGACCCCACGCTGACCTAAGGCAACTGACAAGTTTTTTAAGTTCAACAAGGGTAAATGCTAAGTATTCCTGCTGTTCTGAGGTGCTCTTTAAGACTGGAAGGGATTATGTTTCTGAATAATCAAGTAAAATTAATGCTTAACTTCATGAACATTTTAACCATCATATCATAAGCTAAATATTGTCCTTTTTAATTACCTGAAAGAGTTGCTAACTTTTCCCCTACAAGGACCCCCTTTTCCATACCAGAAATGTCCTGGCCCCCCTTACACATCTCACTAGGATCCCTTTTCTATTTCTCAATATGGGAAGGGCAAGATGGCTGTGACTATGACCCCTGTTTGTGATTCCCTGGTTGAGAATGCCTGACGTAAAACCAGGTGGCAGCACTGTGCTTATTTTTACTTTAATTTTCTATTAGAAATGTTTATTTTACATTATATTTTCTGTCTATACTCATTTTATTTTATATGTTTATAAAATATTAAATAAAATCCAAAATATATCAATCAAATATAATAAATACAACACCATGCATAAAATATAAACACAACAGCATAAGATACAATAAAACAAAAATTGTAAAAGGTTAAAGTCAAAATCAAACAGTTCTATTTTATCAAAACAAAATGTTTTGAGGAACACCATTTTTCTTTTGATGTTTCCATCAAAACAGCTTTTTATTGGAAAATAGCTGTTTCAACAAAATGGAAATTTTGGAACTAAATAGGTTTTTATTTAAAAAATCATTTTTTTGATGAAAGCCCCAAATTTTTTGATGAAAAATGTTAATGGGCTACATTTTTCCTCAGGAAAAAATGATTTCCCAACCAGTACCAGTCATCTCCTCCACTTCTCTATTCTCCCATCTGCTATAATCTCTTGCCTATTTTGTTGCAATTTCTAACTCATTTAGGGTTCTAGTCTGCTGAGCAATCTGTCCCTTATCGAGTATTCAAGTATGTGCTTAACAGGTAGTCTAGAGGGGGGACTTGAACCAGGCGTCTCCCATATTCCAGGTGAGTACCCTAACCAATGGGCAAAGTTATGAGGGAGGTCTCCCCTTCCCACCAGCTTCTTGCAAAAACATTATAGGTGCCTAATGCCAAGAGAGAGCTTGCATCTGAGAATGCCAAGCAGAGGGAGGCACCTCCTCCAGCCTGAACGTAGACGCTAACCTTCCAGAGGGGGACGGGGCTTAGCATCTCCTGTTGGCTATATTAGGGAAGGA